TGGGCACTTTACTCTTATTTCTGGCAGCAGCTATCAATTTTGTCCTGATAGATTTTTGGCTCCATTGTACAACAAAAAATTCAAGATAAAAGCATCTTTAATTCTTCACCTCTATGAATCAAAACATTCTCATTCAGATGTCACAGAAAAAGCCCTAAAACCAGAAGAACAAGGATCATTTTACAGATAATGGTAGGTGAAGAAGCTGAAAACAGGATTTTGTGGAACCACTTTAGAGAGGATATGAAATCTCCATGGGGAATTTATTAAAGCCAACAATACAGCTATTCTGTAGCTTTTTGAGGCAAACAGAGGATCAGGTCTTCAGACTCCTTCAAGCTTGTTTCCTCACTTGAAATTGTACTTGTTATCCACAAAACTGGCTGCAATTACTGTGCCAGAACAGGTTGGGCCATGACTGACTAGATCTCTGTATACTCAGCCTTAGGAAAACTACATGCAAATGCAGACTTATTCATTTTGCACATGAAAATTGGAGTTTTCTATAAAAAATTGTGATTCTTACTGCCTCTCCCAGTAAATTAGCCAGTTTGGAGTGTGAAGTGAGGATCAATAAATGGATCATCTATGGCTGCTTCTTTCTTCTTTCTTGTCTTGTACTTCAGTCTGGACATAAGGAAATGTTACTTTTCTGTAATTCATGACAACTTTTAGTTATGTCTGTGGCAAGTCTGCAGAATGATGCTGAAATTTTCTGTGTTTGATTTCTCCTCCATTCCTTTCTTTGATCCTTTTATTTTGTCATTATCTTCTCTTTTTTCCCCCCACATATCACCTGTTTCCTCCTTTCTATGCCTGTTCCCTGGAGTGGAAAGGGCAGAGGTGAAGCAGAGAGCATTACTGTCCCTGCAAACACACCCTGAGCACCAGCCATGCTCACAGTCTTGTCTCTGACTCCTTTCCAGCCAAGCCTGCAGCAGTTTTCCCAGCCTTCCCCTTATAACCCACTCACATTCTTAAGGCAGCAAGCCTCTAGGTGTGCTGTTGGGATGCCCTTTCTCAGAACTATTGTATATTTTCTTGCTGTGGTTGAAACCCTGGTTCAAATCCACCACAATTTCCAATTTTACAAAAATAGCTGTTATTACTTTCTCCCAATAGCACATAATTTGCCTTTGAATTCTTTCTGCACCAAGTTTCTGTGTGAGTCTTTAACTTATTTTAAAAAGTATTTTTGTATTTGTTTTATCTAAATCAGCTATCAGTGAGCTGTGGACCAGTAAGCTGTCATATACAGCATTATGTTTCTTCCTTCATTTTCTCCATATTCATTCAGGTGTAACACAAGAGGCAAACAGATTCCTCCATTGCTTTTCATTCTTTGTGCTAATATTTCGCCACTGTTTTTTGGGTTTTTTTTTTAATTAGAATTTATGGTAATTTTTTTTAATGCTTTTTCATTATAGCAGTGGTCTGTCTTCATCTTCCCAGATCAGATATGTTCATCCTAGCACAGCCAAGTCATGGTGAAGCCCACTGACCGTTAAAGCACAAATTCATATTTATTAGCCTGAAATCTCCAGCCATGCCCCAAGGGCTGGGACAGGAATGGGACCCTGCTGTGCTGAGCCCTGTGTGCTAACACAAACCCAGGAGCAGGACACGCTGCTCCAGACCTGCTCAGTCCCTACCACAATTTCCAAGTATTAAAGGCCTGGTATCATCTGTGAACTCACCTCAGTTTATATGAGCACTCAGAGAGTTAAAGCCAGCAGTTTATTTTGGTTATTTTTTTTATGGTAACTGCACGCTTCTCAATTTCTGTATTATTCACACCTCAACAAATCTTATTTCATTAGATTTTTGGAACTACAATGGTAATTTTGGTGATTAACTTTAAATTGAGGATAATGCACAAGCAGATATTAACATAATGTCAAAACAATTCTGCACAATTGTTACTTAACCTTGGTCAAATAATTTCCACCCCCAGCGTCCTCCCAAATGGACTTTTTATTAATATGACACAGGCAAACATAAGAGAACCCGGGGCTTTATGCAGGGAAATGATTAAATAAGAGCACTTATCAGAAATAATCACGCAGGGTAACAAGGTAGCAGGGCAAATCTCTGAATTCTCAGATTCTTAAGGCTGTGTCTGGCCTTTAAAGGAATTACATGAATGAACCCTCATCAGGAGGCTTGTTGTGCCTGGGTGACAACTAGGTCAGCAGCAAGATGTTTAGCTTCTTGCATTTATTATACACAGCTGATTTTAAAGCTGATGGATGGATATTAATTACTGTGAAGACAGAAGATTTTAATTTCTGTTTTGACATCACAGCTACACCTAAGAAAACCCATTTTTTAGGGCTGATGGAGAGTTCATTGTCTGTGGCCTCTTCAGTAAATGGACAGACCAGGAAAAGAAAAAAAAAAAAGAAAAGAAGGAAAATTCCACGAGAGGAGTGATGAGTCAGAAACACAGTGGTGCCCCACACAGCTAGGGGATCTGTTTAATCCCATCAAGTTTGGGAGGAGGCTGCTCCCCTGTGCTCTGTTCATCCCTGCACAGGAGTCACATTCTTGTCCTACGCCACAAGTGGCAAAGAACCCTCCTGGGCTTTTCTCTCATTAACTGCCAAGGGAAAGGGAAAGCATTCAGCTGTGTGTCCAACTTTCAGTCTCCCTGGATTTCCTAGGACTTCTTCTTGCAATTCCCAGAGCTTTTTTTGCAATCACCAGACTGGCTCCCACAGGCATCGTGTGGAGTGGGATAAATCCCTTGCTACTGAGGCTGGGATAAATTAGTGCTGGGCTTGTTGGAGCTGTGTTGAGGGACTGGCAGGTCAGGTGCCTATTTTGCTTGAACAATCACTTCCTAACCACAGCAAACATTGGAAATTTGCTGAAATTTGTGGCTGGAGGCATCATATGAACATACAGAATAAATGGAGAGAAAAGACCCTTAATTTGTCAACATACCAGCTTTTATCCAAAGCTCAGCCATGGAGATTGGTGCTATTGGCAGAAGAACTCTCCTTTGCCATCTAGCTGAGATGCTTCTGAGCAGTTTGATGTTAATAGACATAGTCCCATATCCTTGGAGAAGAAATTCTTTCCACAACCTCCACTTGGTGCAACACCTAGCAGCCTTTTAGGTCTGGGTTGTGGAGCAGTTCTCATCAGTATTATCAAGCTCTGAAAATGAAAGGTATATAAGGTATATCCACCTTTACATGTCAAGCCTAAGACACAGATTCCTGAGACAGGAAGGAGTAGGTAATCGCCTTGTAATCACTGGGAATGAATCCACAAATCACCTCCTAAATTCACTCACAAGAACCTTAATTTAAATACTCAAACTTTGAAATATTCAAGACCGATTTCACAATGTTAACTTAAATTAATTCTGAAACTTATTCCAAATATGTAGGAGAAAGAGAAAAATAAAGGAAGAAAAGACATATAGGCTTTTTGGTTTGGTTTGGTTTAGTTCATGTTTTTTTAGAGATTTTTTTTTCCCCTCACATAATCAGTTTGAATGGAACACAATAAATCTGAGAAGGTAATAAACAGCTCATAAAAATCACTTTTCAAACTGTTGCTAAAACAACCTCACAACAGTTGGTGCACTAATGGCTCACTGGAGGGATCATAGAAAGCTTAGGTGAGCCATGAGCTTCAGGGTACAAAAAGTGCTAGTTGTTAGCACAGTGCCATGGCTTTAAATTAGGAAAAGTCAGGAAAAGTCAGTATCAGACCATGTAGAACATGTGAGGTAACTATTAGGAGCTGTCTGCTCCTCTCTTTCTCTTTGGTCTCTCATTTTTCTCTGTAATACACTGCAGTTTGGAAGGTTTTTTCTTTTCTACACAAGGTGTAAGTTTATTGTGAGGTCTCGCAGGATGACATTTTGTGGCTTGCAGCAGGTAGAGGATATGGCACAGATGTTCTGGGGAATCATCTGGACTGAACATCTGCTGAGGGCTTGGCAGTGGTGTGAGAACAGGATCTGATGCTCCTCTCCTTTGTGTTAATAGCTCCTTTTTAATTTGGAGGACTTTTCTGTTTCAGACAGCTGCATTTACTGCATCTGCATTTTACCAAAACCACATTTCTTAGGGGAAAAAGAAGGCATTTATCCAACCTCTAATGGCAAAATAGTGTTTGGTTGAGAAGAAGCCCTTGCTAGAGCCAAACCTCACTGCAACAACAAGCCCTCTAGCAGAAAGACCATGCAGTAAACAAGGAATTGTGTTGCTTCTGCAACTACCAGCTCGAGGAAGAAGGAACAAAGCATGAGTCACTGTGACGTGCACAAGCATAATTATGAATGATAAGCTAAAAATAAAATGCTTTCAAATATAGTTGTGTTCCTGCTTCTGACTGAGGAGCATATTCCTCCAGGGGAGATGACACCTTCCCACTTCAGCTGGGCAGCTCTGTCAGGAGCACGCAGACACCCAAAGCAGGCAGCTCCCACACTGCCCTGCAGCTGCAGAACAGGAGTTTGAGCCTGATGGATGATGGCAGCCACGCAGCTCCTGAGGATGGGACACTCCATAATTGTGGCATCATCACTCTGCAGTCCTTCCACGGCCAGACATCACCCATTCAAAAGAGGGACCCATGATGGCAGCTCTAGGAGGAGACACAGAATCTTGTGAGGATGTCAAACATCAGCATCTTGAGCCTGCACAGAATCAAGACAAAAGTTCAGCATTAAATACCACTGATGATGTACTTTTTCTCTGATAAGTGCTGTGAGCAGCTGATAAAAACACATGAGCCACACTGTCAATGCAATGAGGCTCCTCCTGAACTTTTTTAGTGCACTGATCTTTTACAATGTGAATTGCTTCATCCTGAGAAATGTCCCAGCAATGCAATAATATGAGTGCATAAATTCTAAGGTCCTTGCTTGGTGGCTTTCATGGATTTTCCACAGTGTTTAGCTACCTTGCCTGGGTAAGGGCAGGGTATAGCCTAGAAAATGGGTTTTGGTCCTTTGCAGCTGAAAGTCTTGGTAGCTCTTGATAACACTTTCAAGTCTATAGTAGCTCCTTCTGGATGCTACCCAGAAGGGGAAGAAGAAAAAAGACAAGGTAAGGTCTTTTTAAGCCTTTTTGCAAGCTTGAACACTTCTCTCTGGTTTTGTCTATTTGTGTAAAATAGGTGGAATTCTGAAATCCTCCATGTGTGCAATACATCACCAGCTCAGACTAGGTTCCCACCACCAAGATTCTGGTGAATATTTGGAATAAATCTGTGTCAGGCTGATGTAGAAACCTCAGCAGCTCTGAGGGAGAGGAAACAGAACACCACAGGCACAGAATCGGGCAGGAGTGGATCCACCTTGAAGCAGGGGAGGAAAGAGCATCAGCAGTTGAGTTGTCAGTGTGTAGTGCTGCTTTTTCAGGCATAGTGGGAGCACTGAGAAAGTGGGAAATGGGCCTTGAGCTCATTAAGTGATTCCTGAACATCTGCAGATATTATCACAGCACACAGGAGCCCAGGACACTTCTAAGGCTGTGAGACAGACCTCAGTGAAGAAGACAGCTTTGCCTTGATTTTGAAGACTAAATGTTGTTAAGCTCCATGGGCTGGGAAGGGGATGGCTCTCATCTTTAAAGGGAACAACAGAGGTATCTGACTTATCTTCTCTTGCTAATGAGCTATTAGAAATTGTTTTTGAGCCATACTCTTTGGCCTCATTATAACTGTGCTCCCAAAAGCTCTGACTGTTATAATGAGGAGAAATCTGGACTGATGCACAGTTTTAATGAGATCCAGTGTAGATGTAAACCAGAAAGTCTTATATGTGAAGTCAGACCTCAAAGTGCAGTAACAGAAATAGGTAAAGGATTTACCTCAACAGAGAATCCTGGGTGGGAGAAGAGGAAACAACAAATTTCATCTCACAGGCAGAACAGATAAAACTTGCCCCACACAAATCAAGTATGAATTCAGGAGGTGATATCTAGAAGGATGTAATTCACCAAAGAAAAAGGAGTGAATCTAAAAAGAGATCCAGCAGCTAATGACTTCTAAGAGTTGAATGGTGAAAGGAAATGCTCGCTGTCGACAACACCAGTAAGGAATAAAACAGCCAGCAGAACATTTCTTTTGTTCTTGTCTCATATCTTTTCATGAAAATTAAAAGGGCAGTTTTCACAGCTGGTGAAGGACTTTTTTCCCTCTTCACTCTGATGCTGTCTCCACTTTGAAAACAGCAAATTTATGCCTGAAGCTGAACGGGTAAAAATCTGGCTCTGTTGCCTGTGGGTATTGTGCCGTGAAGAGCAGCAGGACCTGATGAGAGGTTTCATCCAGACCAAATCAAAGAATATTCAACAATCTTTGTTTTCACAGGAGACTTCCAAGCAGCAAGAGAGAGCCAGGGCTCAGCTGGGTGCACCCCAGGATGCCCAGGGCACTCTGTGCTGTGAAGGGAAGTGGATGGAGTAAGACTGTCATTCTCTGAACTCAATGAGCCAGAGTGAGACATCTCCAGTCTGAACCCAGAGGGGAGGATTTCTTCACCATGCAATTATGTAATATCTCATGAGCCTAAGAAGTGGAGATAAAACCTGTGTGAACTCCCACCTTCTTGACAAACTGATGATGCTCTGCCAGTGCACAACACTGTCCTCTTCTCTTTGTTAGCATCATGTTTCTCCTGGAAAAATCAGCAGTAAACAGCCACCAAGAATTATCCTGAGATAGTTCCTGTCATGTCTTGGGCTTTGAGACAAGTAGAGAGAAATCTTTCTTTGAGGAGTAACTTTTCAAGAGTTACTGTGGCTTTTTTCTGAGGCATTTTCATCAATTTGTGACTGTTTATTTGAGCTGTACATAAGCATATTCATATATGGGGAGCATTACAGTGGCCACGCTCAAAAGATGTCGTTCAGCCACAAAGACTAGAGATTTATGATACTATCTCCCATGAAATTTTAAGCACTGCAAATACGGATGTGGCTGGCTCAGCACTTAAGTTCTGACTAACTCATTCAGCCTCTGGCTATGCCTCCAAATGGTTTAGTCCCTATGTGTATCCCTGAGAAGATTTCTGTCCTGGGATGATCATGATCTTCAGACACTCCCATGTTTGAAGGGGTTTATTCCCCAAACCGTGAAGCTGCTCTCTCCCTGACTGTACTAAACCACGACCAGATTTCTGGAGCTTCCAATTAGGAGAGAGGAAGCACAAACATTAAATGTGGGGTTCTTTCTGCAGTACTGGGCTGGCTGCAGCTATCAGTCCCAGAAGCCTGTAGTGATGTATTTCCCAGCCTCTGTGCCTCCCAGGAATTGCTAGGAATTTCTCTGCTGTGACAGTGGCTCTCAATTTACAATAGGACTGCCAACATGATGTTTTCATACGAAGAGGAGTGTGCTGTCTCTCAATACACTGCTTGGAAAATGCAGGATTTCTGTGTTTTATTTTGATCATTAGATGTCAAGGATTCAACGCTGAACACTAAAGGGTTTTGTTATTGCAGTTGTTGTTGATTTGAGATGTAAAGCCATGCTCTGCTTCCCTACATCCCACCTGGAATGAGCTGGAGGAAGCAGACAAGGAGAATGCTGTTTTTTTACTAATTTCTCCCCCATTAGCAGTCATCAGAGCAGCCACTGGCTGAGAGTTGGTGCATGCATTGTGGATGGTGCACACATGGCACAGCCTGTGTGAACTCAGGGTCAGTGCTTGCACATGTAACTTCTTGAATTGTGATTCAGGTGACAGATCATAAATATGGAAATGATTGTGGGACATACCTGTGTGTGCCCCTGAGGTGCCTCTAACTTGTTGTGTTAGTCCTGTGTGTATAAGTATGTGCACCCAAAAAGGAGGGGAGGAATTATGAAGAGTCCCTTTGGGTTTAAGGAAGGGTTACCATTGCTGCCTCCAGGTGTAGATATGTGTGTTCAGAGGGAAGGGTGCTTCTTAAGGCCCCTTTGCTTGCACAGGTCTGAAGGTCTGAAGTGCTGGATGTATTGTAAATCCTGCATGTGGCACAGAAGGGGTGAGGTGGGGACAGACCTAAATCTAGTTAAATACAGGGGTTGTGCAATTTTGCAATACTGACTGTTTTTTGTGACCCAGGAATATGTGGCATGCACTGTTGATGGAGCTAAACTGCCTCACCCAGTGACAAATCTCCTTTAGCAGAGCTCTGACCCCCTTGCAGATCCACTGGGATGATATTTGTCAGGTCCTGCAGCGTGGTCTGGATGTGGTTACCCACTCAGTTCTGGAGCATTTCCACTCTTGGCAAGAAGCTGTTTAAAAAAACGGGGTGGCAGGGAGGGGGAATGTATCACCTAATTGATTAGCTGTGTGAATCACAGAGATGCCAGACCGTCAAAGAGTAAATCACTGGAGCTGTCTTTGATGTCTCCTTCGGTCAAGGACACTCCAGCCTGTTAAAAGTGTTACCTTTCCTTTAATGTGCATTTTCTCTTCTCTCTTCCTTCCTTAGTCTTGTGCATGTGCATGCAGGGATGTTTTTCCACCGGATGCCTGCAGCTGCCATACTTTGTATTTTGATTTCTTTGGCAATTACTGGCTAGGCAGGCCAGCCCTGTAGGACAGGCCTGCAGAGGAGTGATTACTGAGGAATGGAAAATGCAAAGAGGGGTATTAGAGGCCCCTCAAAGGATCTCTCTCCCTCCCACCACACTGCTGTCACTCACTTTGAAAAATACCTCCCACTGCAAATAATCATCCTGAAGGTAATGGGGACCTCCAGTTAATCCCCTCTTGTGGTAGTTGGGGGAGAGGGGAAATGTAAATGGGGGTGGCTGTTGGCAGAAACACATGGTCTTTTTGCACCATCTAATAAGCTATTTGTTGTTTTTTCCCATTTCCAGCATGGCTGGAGATTCACTAACAGTCATGTGGTGCTGAAAGACTATAATAAAAAGCTAAGTGATGAGGCAGCTTTTGTGATGGAATTTCAGCACTCCCAACAGGAGCTGAAGCCAGATCCCACACACTCACAAAAAAGAAGTGCTATTCAGACAAAACAGAACCAGTTAACCAAATTTCTCAAAATTTCAAGCCTGAACTAGTTCCAGAGCTTCAGAAACTGTTATAAGGCACATCTGATCTCGCTGCCAATGCGCGCCGCATCTCCTGTCACGTGCATCTCGGATGGAAGAGCACTCCCCAGGAATGAACTGCTTGTCTTGGGTCCCTGCCAATGCCACCTGGCCAACTCTGTCTAGGTAAAGCACGGTGCTAGTGAGCATTGGCTCAGACAGACACTCGGATCTGGGCCAGGCTGGAGATGGCCTGTTAGTAGCTGTCGCTCGCTTGGCTGGGCTGGTTTGTGGTGCTGGGAGAGGGCTCAGCACTCGAAGGCTTCTGCCAAGATTTTCTGCATGACAGCACCCTCCTTACTGCAGTCTGTGGCTGGACTGAGCCTCTTCCTGAACTTCCCAGGAGTGGGCCTGTAAAGGAAAGGAGTTCTGACGTTTCCAGGCTGTTCTCCTCAGAGGTCCCTGCAAGCACAAGCTGCTCCCTGTCCCAGTGCACGCAGCCCATGTGTTAAGAGCACAGAGCTTTTGGCCACACAGGCAGAGACAGCGGGACTCTTGTGCTCACTTCCTTCCTCACAAGGCAGCCTGGCCCTAAAAATGTCCATGGGAGACTGGCAAGCAGAGAATGGTGCTCCCAGAACACGCCTTGCTGTCATTCCTTCCCACTCCACCTCCCTGTAAAGCAGCTCAGGGAATGTCATCACTCTGCAGGCTTAGGACAAGCCCGAAGTGTCAAAAGCAAATGAAAGAAACCACTCAAGGGTTGAAACAGCAGCAAAGGTGCTAGTGAAGAAGGATGAGATAAGCAGTTTTGATGGAAGGATGTTTTATGCTAAATGTACTAAAATGCACTGTCTAGCTCTTATGTCAGGCTGCTGTAACCGGCTGTTTCTGTCTTCCAGCAGGAGTTTATTGCCACAATGCTTCTCATACAAGACTTTCCAAATTGTATCCAAGTCAGCCACTCTACTGGCCCCTGGTAAGGTACCTTGCTGGAGATTTGAGTCTAAGGTGACATCTCTTGTCTTTGAAACAATTATTAAACCTTTTTATTTGCTTGTTCTGCCCCCCCCCCCCCCCCCCCCCCCCCCTTTCATTTGCCAACAGCTTTCATAAACTGTAAAAACCAGAACTTGGCAGAGCTTTCTAGTGTGGATACCTGCCTGTAGTTAACATCAGCTCTTTCCTCCTACTCTTCTTCCTCTCTGTGTTCAGCCTGTTGCCTCAGAAGAGGGCTGAAAAGGTCTAAAATACATGTGCCAGCCTGACATTGTTCATGGCCATGTGTTTCTGAGAGCTAGAAATACCAGTCTTTGGGTGTCACACATGGAAACACTCGGTGATTTCCCTTTTCATTCCCCATCTCCATTTTGCACTGTCAGGTTTAAATCCGCTTCAGCCGTGCCATGTGAGCACTGCATTGCTCTAAATTCCTCCTCAAAATGACACGCTTCCTATGGCAATCTTGTTATCATTACCAAGCAAGCATGTAATTTTCTCCTCTTCTCCTCTCCCCAAAAGTATATGATCTTAGTTTATTAGATTCTATATCTATAAAACAAGCCATGGTAGGAGGCACAATGAAGATCTAAAGAAAGGCGATGAGGCATTTTGCTACCACCTCTGAATTCTGACTGGCTTTCAGGATACAGGAGACATTAAGCCATCACTCAGAATAAACATGTTAATCCCTCTTTAAATCTTCGCTGCCAAAGCAGAGGTGACTACCGGGTGGCTTTGAAGGGCATAATGCTGTTGATTTTAGCAGGGATGTAGCGATTTCCTTGTGTATCTTTAGTGAGAACCCCCTGACATGGTGCTAATGGCTGGATTCATCTGGTAAAGAGGTGATTACTAAAATTGTGGAGATGATGGTTTAACATTACAGTGTATATGGAACTTTTTTTTCTTGGGCTTGAGATCTTAAAGAACCTCTCAGAGGTAATCAATGGCACTTTAGTACCCTTTGAAGCTTTTATTCACAGCATTTGCATGGTACTTTGTGACACATTGACTTTACTATTTTCCTTCAATTTTACACAAAATTGCTTCAGACCTGCATTTAAGTTGCTGTAAAAGCGGTGATCTGTCAGCTTCAATCACACACTGCATCTGGGGCTCCCTTTCTGCAGTAAAATCTTGGGTCATCATTACATTTTCCTATGCTCTAGGATGGCAATGGGATAATAGCTTAACTCTGCACCTGCCCTTCTGTGAACTGAAACCCTGCACCTCGAAAAACTCAACAGGATTGGCATTGACCTAGCAGAGAATTACAGTGCTGGAACACCAAATTGATATAACACTAAAATAAACTGGGCTCCAAGGCTCTGAATGGGCAATACTGTATATGCTAAGTGAATGAGGGCTGAATGTTCAAAGAGCTTCTTTAAAAATGCAAGAGCAATTTCCTAATTTTAAGTCCACACATATATTTAGGGGTTGATTTGGGACCTAAAGCAGGTGCTTTTTTTTTTTTTTTTAATCTACATCTTTGATCTCATGCTTATCAGTGTCAGAAACAAACTCTATATGGAAAAAGTCAAAAGCAATTTATACCTCATGGATATAAACTGGAAAGCTGCACTTTTTAAAAGATATCAAAAAATGTAATGTAGTCATCTACCTGGAAAATGCCATGAATCTCTCATTCCTCCATATCTTATATTCAGCTAAGCCCTTTCCTTTAACTGGCACTGTGCAGGCTCCTCTCCTTGCAGCTCAAAAGGTTGGAATTAACCTGACTCCAAGGAAAACTCCTTCCCACACAAAAAACTGTGACCCACCAGCAAGAAAAACCATGGAGAGTTCAGGAATCACCACCCCAAAGTCGTGGATGGCCCAGGCTGAATTTGGTGATGCCATTGCCTCCAACTGGGAGCACTAAAAGTTTGGCATGAGGCGTGAAATATTTACCCAGTCTGCCACGATGTAAAAATGATAGTGAGTGCTTGAGCAGAACATCTGTCAGCGAGGTGGCAGCTGGCAGAGCCCGGCAAGGATTTCCTGGGGAGAAATGGGCATGGTTTCCTAATTTTGCAACACTGAGCTGCGTGGGAGGGTGAGGGGAGCAGGTGTGAGTGAGAGTGTTGCTTGCTCGATGGAGACAGAAGAAGTGCCCTGAGGAAGCACGTTTGGGAGGGCAGACACAAGTGCTGCAGCGTGGGAGAGGAGATGGGGAGCAGTGGGCTCAGCAGGTGGCTCCTTGTGGCCCAGGAAATGGCCTCTGATTGCTGCAGGCTTCTTCCACCCTGGGTCTGTCAGCACACCACCATCCCAGACTTCTTTCCATGTATAATGTTTCTCATATAAGTGTCTAACCCAAGGCCTTTCAGAAGGGCACACCTGCAGCAAGGTGAGTGCTCCACCATGGGCCCAAGCCCTGGTCTTGGTGCTCTCAGTGAGATGGGATTGAACAGCTCCATCCCAGGCAGGTATCCAAGACCTAGCTCAGCAGAAGGAAAGAGATTTGGGTCCAAAAAGTCTTCACCCTGGTCTGGGGAGAGATAGGTCTGACACTGCTCTCCCATTCACCCTCCTACTCCTTTCAAAGGGGTTTTATTTGACCTTCCCCAGGAGCAGACTTTGGGTGTCCCATCATTGGCTTCTCACTTCCTTCATGAATCCTCTTCTCCCCAAATTGACCTCACAGTAGGAAGGTGAGTCTGGTAGAGGTGTGAGGCTGGAGGGAGGCAAACACACAGAGCCTGAAACCAGCTTTGAGAGGGAGCAGGCTTATGTGTGAGGAGGAAGGCTGTTCAGAGAGAGAGCTTCAAGGGGTGAAGTGGTCTAAGGAAGTCAGCCTGACTGCCAAAGTTCTTTGTAAATACAACAGGACTTCAGTCCAATGTTTAAATCATTTTTCTCTGTGTCAGGCTAGCTCCTTGTGTGCACACAAGGGCACCCACACTCCCACTTTCTTCTTCCACCGGACCATGCAAAGGCTCAGAAATGCAGTAATTAATTTCCCCATCATTACCACTGCCACCCTGCAGATAATTCTGCTGAGTTTTTATTCTGTAAGCAAATATTTTTGCTTTTTGCAGTAAGGTAGAGATTGCCAGAGACTGAGAGTTTTGTCTATTATGCAGGTCACTAGAAAGAGTTAATCAGCTGGGGGTACATACTGTCTAATTCCCATAGTGTGGGAGTGAGACAATAGGAGATCAGAGTTGGACTCAACTTCTTTGCATTCTCCCCCACGCTCCTTTTGGAGGGTGTTTCAGGGACAGGCTGTGAGGAATGCACACTATCTAATCTGCATGTATAATGTAAATATGCACATTTTTATTTGCTCTCTCCATCTGCGGGGAGCTTGCTGGCATCAGAACAGCCATGCGGGCTCACAGCGAAGTTTCCTTGTAAAAGGGAAGGAGAAGACTTAGCAAGGCTGCTTGCTCTCTGCACAAAGCCTGTCCTATCACACCTTCACATTTGTCTTTTGGTCTCAAAATCTGGGATGGACTGGGCTCCTTAAATGAAGCTGGTCTTTTAAATGAGCTGGGAAATCAATGTGGAAGTGGGAGGAGAAGAAATTGCACTTGGCCAACCTTAAACCATAATTTAAACCAATTTCTCCAGCATAGTAGAAACTTAAAAAAATAATATTTATGATAGGAAAACTAGGTTTTATCTATTGGAACAGACAAGATTAAATGGAGGTAAATTCAAGAATGCTAAGCTTCTCAGCATGAGGAAATCAAAATGTTTCATCTGAGTTGTCAAAATAAAATGTCTAGGCTGTATGTTTTGCAGGTTTTTTCCGTGTTTGCATTTGAAGCAAGTTGGGTAATTTGCGGATTGACTAAAGCAGCATTTTTTGCCTAAAAAAAAAAAGTAATTTTCATGAAAAGCTGCTCCCCATCTCCATTGTGGCCTTCTGAACAATGCTATTACCCTGGCTGGGAAGCAGCAGCAGCAGCAGCTGGAGTCCCTTGCCCTGCCATCAATAGCTTGCAGCACTTGGAGTCCTGGCTGCCCTATAAATTGTCTGTCTCCCAACTGGCTGAAATATCTGACTTTGCTCCACAAAATGTTTTGGACTCAGGTCACTTGAAATCAGGGAGTGGTGCTGCTGTGCAGAAACTAATGGTGCAAAAGAACAGAAGTTTGCACAGAGTCACCAGGATCTAGCAAAAACTTTCTTCACAATCTCTTTCAAGAACATAGATCTGCCTTCCCATGGAATTTTGCAAAGGCATGGCTGACTCATAAGGGGCTTTAATCTATTTTCTTTATTGTTCCACTGCATGCATGTGTATTTATGTGAGGTATTTGTGTGTATGTGGTTGTGACAGTATAAATATTAATAGCACAAGGGTGAGAATACATGTGGCCCTCAAATGAGGTTACATAAACACACAGCTGCTGTGCTATTTGTAAATTTATAAAGACACATTTCCATCAAGAGTGTGAAAGTCAAATAGCCGTGCAGGGAGAGAATGCACATATGCTTCATAAACTGCACAAGATTACATGGTGCTACTTAAACCCCAGCCCCACTGGGGTCAGCTGGAGCTCCATCACTGACTTCAGTGGGATCAGGACTTGGCACAGCGCACTTGCTGTGATTTCCATGGATAAAGCAGAGTGAGCTACTGGAAAAAAATCAGTATGAGAAGTGCCAGCCTCTTGTGACTTGCTGACTTCTGAGCTTGATGGGGATGAGGCAGTAGCGTAGCACCACAGAGCAGAGAGCCTCCACCCTTGCCTGCTGCAGGCTCTGCTGTCGATGGGAAAACAGGACCTGGATGGGGCCATGAGCAGGAGGAAAGCAGCTCTGCATTTGCCTCCCTGCACTCTCAGCTCTGCCAGGGAGGGGCACTGGTGTTGCCTCAGCCAGACCAACAAAAGAGCATCTCTTGTGTGTTAAGGGTGATGTGTTGACAGTGTGCAGGCCAGAGTATGGATTTCCATGCAGTTCCCTTCGTTAGCAGCTGCTTGCACTCACAGCCTCCCCGGGAGGTTTGGCAGTCCCTG